ATGCCACAAAGGAAAAATAAAGTCAGAAGACATTCAGTCAGCCACTGGCTCATTCAAATATTACACTAAGTATCTACCGTGAGGCAGGTCCAGTTCTACAGACTGAGGACTACAACGGTGAATAAATAATATAGACATAGTACCCATTCATAAGAGCAAACAATCTAGTGGGGGATACAAAGAGTAGAAAGACAACTATATTACAGTGGATGAGCATCCATAGGATAGTGGTCCAAGCTGGCAGAAAAGAAGAGGGACCCCTCAACCAGCCCGGAAGAAGCTTCGAGATAGGGCGAAGTCAGAGAAGGCATACAATATATCTCTAAGCTGTGTCCCAAAACACGTACAGGAACTATCTTAAGGTAGAAACAAAGAATGCTTAGGCAGAAGCAATAGCATGTACAAAAGCACAGCTTCACTGAGAGTTAAACCAAAATATGTGGCATCTAAGACAGCATAATATGATGTCACACTTTCCAGATGATACTCAAACATTTGTTAAATGTTTCTCTTTCACGGGGTAGAGAAATTATTTTATATTAAGAAAATATTAAATACAAGAAAAGATTCACTTATTTAACCCACTCCTGCTAAGCTAAAACTATCACTCCTCTGATAAAGATCAGAAAAGCTTTCTAATTCTTCATCTTTCTTATCTTTTATTCAGTGATTTTTTCCAGACACTCCAATTTCTTGTGTGTGGACAAAATATGAAATGAAAATCTTCAATATTCAAGAAAAAAGGAATGCATGTCGAAAATGGATATCATGTTTCTAATTTATTTTACTGGTATTCTAGTACCTTTATAGAATGGTCCCCAGAGATCCGAGCTGCCCTCTCCCTTTACGGCCCTCTGGTTAGATGGTACCGAGAGGGAGGCTGAAAAGGTCGGCAGGGACCAGGTAATGCAGAATCCTGTCAGTTGCGGGAAGGAGGCTGCACAGAACTCAAGAGAGATAAGAAATGGTTGAAAGGGTTTAATTAAGCAGAGGAGTACCATGATCAGATTTGTTTATTTCAAAATCCATTCTACTTACTCTGTTTTTGAATGAAGAGGAGTGGAGAAATTAGAATGGAGTGCAGATCTGGAAAAAGAACAACCGCTATGAAGCAGTTTCTGTAAACCATACTAGAGATGCTGGCAACCTGAACTAGGATAGCAGCAGTAGGAAGGCGGCATGGTACATACTTAAAAGAGTTGGGGGCTACAATTGAGTAGACTCAGAGGTATAAGGAAAGGAGGAGAGGGGAGTAAATTAGAAATCACTCGTTATGTTTTAGGTTCGGAATCTTGGTAGAGGAAGATTCCGAACACGGTGATTCGGTTGACAGGGACAAACCTGTTTAGAATGAAAATCTGTTAAGTTCAGTTTTATACTTGTTGAGGTTTGTATTTATAATACATCGAAATGAAGATATAAATAAGTCCAAGATAAGGAGAAAGATCTAGAGTGGAGACAGATGTGGGTAGCCTCAGTAGATAGATGGAATCCATGGGATGGATGAGAACGCCTAGGGAGAAAATATACAAAAGAAATACATAAAGGATCCCAGGAAAGTGACCTAAAAATCTCTTACATTAAATGGTCAAAAAGAGGCTGAGAAAATGAAAGAAAAGCAAGATCATGGCTTCAAAGAGCCAAGACATAGTCCAACATGTACAATGCTAGAGACAAAGAAGAGTAAAGAGGTATCCCTACATTATCATGAAGTTATCTGTGAACTGGTTGAGAACAGTTTTAGCAAAGAAAGATTAATCACAGGTGCAGCACTTACTTATGCCATGTATGCTCAAGCCCATCACTCAGTTTCTGCACCTGTAAAACAGGAAAAATGCCCACCCTGTCTGCCTCATGGTTTTGTTATGAGGATTACATTAAATACCATAACTGAAAGCGCTGTAAAAACATTAAACAGAGGGTATAAAGTAGTATCATTAACATTGTGTTGTTCTGACAGTGTTCACAAATGCCAATCCTGTTTCACCCACATGGCAAGCTGATGTGCACTGGCCAGTGTGACATTATCAGCAGGATGGACTCACTGCTAGGCAAAAGCTGTAAGAAACAGTGCATAGTTCAACATGCTTCTCTTTGCCCTGCCACTACTTCTACAGAAGTAGGTTTCAAAACAAATCCTTCATAAGCCTAGACTTTTGAGTGACTGCCATGAGGACAGTCCTCTGGCTGACTCATGCTGACATGTAATATGGGGACAATTAAATGTTTTAAAGCACTAAAATTTTGGAATTATAACAACTAATTGTAGTGTAACAAGAAGTAAACAACTAAATAAAAGGTAGAAAAATCAAGTGGAAAATGCTATTTTGGGAGGTCATCAATGAGACAACATGGAGGTAGTCAGTCATGCTAATAATGTACTAATTTTTATTTTATAGCAGAGTAACTCATTAATCCTCTATACTTGATTCAAAATTCTCACAGGTACAGAAGGTGAAAGAACAACTAATGAAGGTGATATGGTTTGGCTGTGTCCCCACTCAGATCTCATCTTGAATTCCCACGTGTTGTGGGAGGGACCTGATGGGAGGTAACTGAATCATGGGGGCAGGTCTTTCCCATGCTGTCTCGTGATAGTGAGTAAGTCTCACTAGACCTGACGGTTTTAAAAAAGGGAGTTTCCCTGCACAAGCCCTCTTCTCTTGTCTGCCACCGTGTGAGACACGACTTTCACCTTCTGCCATTGTGAGGCATCCTCAGCCACTTGGAACTGTAAGTCCTATAAACCTCTTACTTCTGTAAATTGCGCAGTCTCAGGTATGTTTTTACCAGGAGCGTGAAAAAAGACGAATACAGAAGGGGAGAAGGCCAAGATAAACAAGGGAAGGAACATCTAAAACATCCTAAGGGAACATCCAAAAAAATTCAAATGAAAAGATGTCTGTTGGGGAAGGATGAGACAGTCCATCAAAGAGAAATTTCCTTCTTCATCAATATTGTTGTTGGCACCTCAAATTTTCTTCACTCCTTAGTAAGCATACTTTGCACCTAAGTGTTTGACTGGTTATGTATCTGTGTTAGGCCAAAGACACACAGTCCAAATGGATTATCAGAAATAAATGGAAAACTGGACAAGGAACTAAAACCAGACTGTATGAAGGAAAAGTGTTTTATTCTTCGAGTGTTAACAATAGATACCAAATAGTAAATAGAAGTTACCAAATAGTAATGCCAAATTACTATTTGATATGCTTAAATGGAACATGTGTGCTAGCAAATGGCCATTACTCAGAACCAAGGACAAAAGTAAAATCCAGATCAGAGTGAGGCATGAGGGCCCACTGGACGAGACTTTTCACCAAGCACACTGGATTCTCTTCCCTTCTTTATCTTGGCCTTTGTCCCCTTCATTAGTTTTGGCAAACCATGAAAGAAGATTATAAATGCTTCAATCCCAGTGGAGTTGGAAATAAAGTACATGAAAGAAACTTAATAAAGAATGTTTATCGGTGTGTGTCATTTTAAAAAGGAGGGAGGTGTAGATAAAACATTTCCACAACTCTTCTTTAATAAATATCTTAAGTGTCATTTTACAAAGCACACAAGTAAATTAACGTCGTTTACAAGGACATCAAAAATATATATATATATCTGACCACTACCTTTAATCACTATCTTTTTCTCTAAAGTTTTTCTATTTCAATCCAACCTTACACCTAGGACAATTATGTACTAAGTTTCTTTGAAAGTATATACTGCAAATTCTGAAAACAATTTCATAAGACTGCTCCCCAAATGGTTTATGTAACAGCACAATCATCTGATTAAGTGAGGGACAGCTCAAGGTGATTATTTCACAAAGGGTTCATTCATTACTATACACAAGCTCAAGAATGCAACTTCATATCCCTTACAATCCCTAGGGCAGTGTTTTATCTATAGCACTTCCTCAATAAACACTTGCTGATTTGAATGCATTTAATACCTGAAAATGCTAGGACACAAACAAATTGCTGGGCTTTTTTCAAACTCCAAATCAACCCATTTTCATTACTCTCAACGCTCCTTCATGCCAGTTAACTAGATGGATGTTTTCCATCACTTGAAAAATTAGCCATGTATATTCTATTGCCAGGATAGTTTCCATTCTGCAGTGTCTCTCCTAAAAGGGGAGAAACTATTAAATCAAAATGGGGTAACCTCACAAGTATAACTATTACAACTTGTAAAATAGCTCTTTTACTGAAAACAACAACAACAACAAAGACCTGTACCTTTTTAGTGGAACTTATTAACAGAATCATTAGCCCAGAAACTAAACTGGTATGGTACACTATGGTAGAAGACAAGCTAAAACGACATTGGCCTGTAAAAGTTTTACTTTCCTGACCTTTCTCCCTCTTCAAGATGGCAAAGTCAAACAGGAACAAATGTTGATGTACATTGAAGTTATCAATGTTAGTCCAAGGGGAGAAAAAATTGATCAAGGTAGGTGTAATCTTCCCCTAAATGAGGAATATTAGCAAGGAAAGAATTAGTGCAAGGATATAGTGTCTGCCTGAAGGAATCCTGTTAGATATAAAATCACAATATTTGCTATGAAATAAACTAGAAAGTTTTAAATGCGTAATTACACGTGCCAGGAGTTATGCCCACGTGACTCCACGGGCCCACGCTAGTGCGTGCCAAAGTCAGAAAACCCGCAGGGGCGTTGAGTCACTCCCCAGCAGCACTAGGGGAATTCAGTGTTGGAGCCACAGCACGTACCCTATGGCGCAAGACCAATGATTAGAACAGAAGGTAAAGGGGATGAGGAAAGAAGTTTCCCAAACGCCCGCTCCGGGGACCGGAGCCGTCAACCTGCCACTACGGAAGCCACAGAACCCGGTTACCGCGTCACCCCGAGCCCCGCCCATTCAGGTTCCTCCCCGCCTGGGGCGGGGTCGGCGCTCCAGGGCCGAGGGGCGGCCCGCGTCCCGAACCGGCTCCTGGGAGGCGGGCTGCCCGTCTGACTGGGGGTGGTGGGAGTCCGGCGGTACCTGCGCTGGAAGTCCACGGCGTAGGGCTTCAAGTACGGGTCGACCTCCAGGAGTCTGGCCAGTTCGGGCACGTCAGCCAGGGCGGCATTGAGCGCCGCCTCGGAGTCCTCGGCCCGAGCCGCGGGAGTCACCGGAGCCGCCATTTTCCACCGCAGTCCAAGTAGCCGAGGCCCGAGAGGGTCGAGCGGGGCCTGAGCGGGCACTGGAGCTCGAGCTGGGACGTGGCGGCTGGGGCTGGGGCGGAGCCGGAGGGCGCCTAGGCGTGTCGCGGCGAACCGAGGCGAGCCGCGGCCGTCCGAGGCCCTTTATAGCCGGGGCGGAAGGCCGTCTGCCCTTTCTCCCCCCGCCAGCGGGGAGGAGCGGATCCCGGGGTGATGCCTGGACGCACGTCCCGAGCGGGTAGGAGGCACCGAGGCCTCTCCGCCCACTCACGCTGCTGGCACCTGGAGGCCGCAGGGACCTGCCCTTTCCTCCCCGTAACGGTTTTCCTGCCGGCGGAGGTCCTTCTAGGAGGTGGGTCCCGAGCTGACTTCGCCCAGCCTTGGCCTTCCTCTCCCTGACCCGTTCTTGGCTCCGGAATAGATTCCGCTTGTAAGCACCCACTTAAACACCCACTGACAGCGCCCCCTTCAAATTGGACATACTGGGTTTTTTTTGGAAGCGACCTTATTTCTCAAAGTTCTGAGACTTTTGGAGGGCAGTATTTCAAACATATACAAATTCACAGAGAGGTGAACAGTCAAGTGTAGCTAGAGTACTACTGCTGAGAATGTGAATACCACTTAGAACCAGGGCTGTCCTAAGCTTGCCAGGTCACGTGAATTTAGAATTAAGACACAGAATGCTGGAATACCATTGTAATTCTGCTGTTCTGGTACTATTTTCTGCATTACCAACAGCTAAGAATTATAACCATGGGAAGAACTTTTCTCATTCTCTGTAAGGCCAAAAAGGAAAAGGCATTTGCCTGTGTTTGTAATTGTTACAAGGTTTTCAGCGATTAAACTATCTTTGATAACACAAATGATATCATTGAATTGGAACTCCATTCTGCCACTTACAGTGATAAGGCAAGAAACCGCTCTTCCTCCTGGCTTGGGAAGCTCCCACTTGGAATTCCCTTCTTTTACTGCCATTAACTGACTGGCTTCTATTTCAATAGTTGGTTTTTAAGAATACAGAATTGGACACCAAGAGAGGTGGACCCACCAACCCAGGAGGGTCCAAGCTGCTTTACACCTAGAAACTGGAGAGGATTGAGGACATTTTTCTCTTTAAAACCTAGGACTAGAGGATCCCAGGGGATATGGAGGAGAAACAGTATTAATCAGCTTTGGGCCTTGAATTTTAAAATATTTCAAAGGAAAGTTTTTATAAGGGGTTTAATAGACGAAAGATAAGTGGATATGTAGACAGACCTCAATGTGAAAAAGTGAAGGGCTTGAGCGACTTTAAGGTGTGCCTTCTTTTCCATAAACATGACAAAAAGCATGCAGATATTTGTAAAATATAAAGCACTAAAGGAAGAAAATTAAAAAAAAAAAAAAAAAACCGAAGCAGGACAACTGTTCATAACAGACCCACAGATCTGTATCTCCAAGCCTAAACTTTTTTCAGAAACCCAGGCTTGTATCACTGCCTATCTACTGAGATCTCCATTTAGCTGGCTAGGAGACCTAAACCAACTGTCTGCAAAACATAACCTACAATCCGTCTTCTCATCCTTTCTGCTGTCCCTCTGATGCAGGCCACTGTCGTCCTTCACTTGCACCGTAACGTAGCTCTGTAATTGACTTCCCCTCTTCTGCTGTTTCCCACCTCTGCTCCGTTCTCTGTACCAGTGCTTCTCGCACTTTAGTGTACATACAAATCACCTAGGGATCTTAATTCGGTTCTGGAGTGGTGCTTCAGATTGCATTTTTAACAAGCTCAGAAGTGATTCTGATGCTGGTGACCGGAGGCACAGTTTGGTTAGGCTCTACACTGAGTAAATCGGATGATGTCATTTAGCAAGTTACATGGCATACTATTTCACTTAGGGGAAAATAGAAACAGCTAACCATTCTCTAACAAGGCTTGTATAATCTGGACCCTGACTACCTTCCCAGCCACTTTTCTATCATTTTCCAGTTTTACTATGCTCTAGTCACACTGACTTTCCTGGAACTCAGTGAATTTGTTGTGTAATAGCCTCTAAGATTATTTGCTTGCTGTTCTGTTGGAAATTCTCAGGGAGCTAAGCTCTACTTGCTTGATTTTTTCCCAGCCTTCATTCCAGCCTCAGCATAAATGTCAGCTCATACCTGAGAAAATTCTGATTATAGACCCCTCAGTGTCTTCTACATAACTTCAATCTCTTCTGTGAACAGTTAACAGAATCTAGGTGTTTGTTTTTCTCTTATTTATTGACCTTTCCCTTTAGAACCTAGGCCTTCCACGAGCAGGATCCTAGTCTACATATCTGCCTACCTGGCTGGTTCACCATTGAGCACATATTTATTGAAGTCCCATATGCCGGCCATTTTCCCACATACTCTAGATAAATGATAAGACAAGTCCCAGTTGTCATACTCTATTGGGAGTAGGAGGGAGAGGAGACACAATTACCAGTGAAATACATAAAATAATACAAAACAGTGTCAGATAGTGGTAAGTGCATTGTCGAGAATTAAAGCTGTGTTGGTTTTGGTAGTCAAGAAAGGCCGTTCAGAACTGACATTTAAGCTGAACTGTGATGACAAGAAGAAATGAGCCATGAGAGGAAGAGCATTCCAGAATGGCAGAGTTCGTGCAATGGAGGAATTGAGTTGGTCTTAAAAAAAAAAAAAAAAAAAAACAAAAAAAAAAAACAGTCTAGCATACCTGGTGTGTAATGAGGAGTAGCAGGAATTGTGGTGCGAGAGCTAGGCAGGTGTTTGATCATACGGCCCCTTTAATGTCCATTTAAGGGATGCTATTGGAGAGTTTTCAGCAGAACACTGATGTGATATGGTTTCATTATTAAAATATTCTGTGTGGTAAATGAATTATAAGGATACAAGGATGGCAATAGGGGTGCCCTTCTTGTGGGAGACAAGGAAGACAATTAGGATGTGATTAACATTGCCTAGGTAAGAAATGATGATGGCTTGGTCTGGCGTAGCAGAGAAAATGATGAAATAAAGATTTGGGATGCATAGTATAATGAATGTCTAAACTATTATGAAGTCATTTAGTGTCTGTATTAGTTACCTAGGGCTGTAGCGATTAAGTACCACACACTAGCTACTTTAAGCAACAAAAATGTGTCACCTTACCCTAGTTCTATGGGCTGAAAATCAAAGTGTCCCCAGGCTTTGTTCTTTCTGGGGGCTGTGAAGGAGAATTTTTCCATGCCTCTCTCCTAGCTTCTGGTGATGGCCAGCAATCTTTGGCATTTCTTGGCTTACAGATGCATCATTTGGATCTCTGCCTCCATCGTGACATGGCATTTTCCTGTGTCTCTGTTTCTTCACATAGTGTTCTTTTTATAAGGTCACCAGCCTTACTGAATGAGGGACACACCCTATTTCAGTATGACCTCATCTTAACTAATTATATCTGCAATTATTATATTTCCAAATAAGGTCATATTCTGAGGTACTGTTAGGTTAAGGCTTCAATGTATCTTTTTGTGGAGAAATACAATTCCACCCATAACATTTTTGACACACCAAAACAGAGGAAATATTTGAGAAATAGAATTTATAAGATTTGGTGACTAATTGTATATGAAAGTGAAAAGGGAATTATAGATTGAGCTTCTGAGCCTGGGGGAATTCTGTCTAGCAAAAATAAAGAAGTGCTTGAAAGAGGGAGAACTGAGTTCAAGGCGTCAGCTCCTGGATACACAAGTCAATATGGCAGCTGGAAATGTAATTCTGGTGCCTAATGGATCATTCAGGAATGAAGATAGCAATTAGAGAATGACCCATGTGTGGTTACTAGCTAACAGTGGCAAATAGGAGATGCTCAATAAATATTTTGAAACCTCTTCTTCTTGATATTTGAGTCTCATGCCACATGTTTGCTTTTCAGTATTTGCATTATAAAGCCAAAGAGTTATTGATAATGTGCTACAACACAGTTGAACCTTAAAAACATAGCAAGTGAAAGAAACCACTCACAAACGACCACATATGATATGATTCCATGTATATGGAATGTTCAGGATATGCAAATCTAAAGAGAAAGAAAGATTTTTAGCTTCCTAGGGCTGGAGGGCAGGGGAAATGAAGAGCGAATGCAAGTGGATGTGGGATTTCTTCTTGGGATAATGCACATTTTCTAAAATTGGTTGTGGCTATGGTTTCATGGCTCTGTGGATATATTAAAATGACTTAATTGTACAGTTTAAATGGGTGAATTGTATGTGAATTACATCTCCAAGCTGTTTTTAAAAAGATTCTGAAGGATAAAATAATAGTAAATATGCTTTTTAAAAGGCAAACGATTTATACCAACTAAAGATAAACTAGACTATATAAATATACCTTTTAAAATTATATATCTCCCTCATTGAAAATCATTAGTGATGAAAAAGAAAATCAGAGAGCTAAAAGAAAAAAGAAGTAACTTTTTTTTTTTTTTTTTTGAGACAGGGTCTAGCACTGTATGTCACCCGGGCTGGAGTGAAATGGCACAATCTTGGCTCACTGCAACATCTGCCTCTTGGGTTCACGCGATTCTCCTGCCTCAGCCTCCTGAGTAGCTGGGGTTACATGTGCACACCACCACACCCTGCTAATTTTTTGTGTTTTTAGTAATGACAGGGTTTCACTATGTTGGCCAGACTAGTCTCGAACCCGTAACCTAGTGATCCGCTGGCCTCGGCCTCTTAGAGTGCTGGGATTACAGGCGTGAGCCACCGTGCCCAGCCAAAGAAGTAACTTTTAAGAACAAGGTAATGGTGATAAAGGAGAATGTGGCTTCTAACAAGAAAAAGGAGAACTTTCAGAAAAAAAGAGAGTGATCAGTGATAACCCTACTATCTTTTACAATGTGATGGAGGACACAGGTTCTGTGGTTGTTTCATTTTCTCATCGTATATGCTTTTGACCTCAAGTTTGTCTCCTTCTGGTCATAAAATGGCTGCCACAGCTCTACGCATCACTCCCCCATAAGGCCACAGAAAAAGTAAAGAAAAATGCATTTCTTCTTTGTCTTTGCCAAGAGGAAAACTTTTCCCAGATGTCACTATCAAACTTTCTTGTATCTCTTTGGCCAGAACTAGGACACATGCCTGCCCTGAAACCAGTGGCATAGAGTAATGTAACTTCTTTGAGTAGCTTAAACTAATTGTGATTCACTGCTTGAGTTGGGACAGCTTCCATTACTGTCCAACATATGAATAAAGTGGTGGTTCTGTTCCCATGGAAAAAAAGGGACGGCTAATCAACATGTGTGCCACATTTTCCTTTTCTATTAATCATAGATTCCACTACCCATGAAACTTGCCAGTGCTGTTAACTAAGTTGTCCCCTTGTGATTTTGCCATAGTCACATGACAAAACCCCCGTTTGGGACTAATCAGTTTGCCTTCTCCATTCCTGCAACCAGAGTGCTATGAATGTCACACAGACACACACACTGTAACTGTAAGAACTAATTTCATTAAAAATGTACCTTAGCTTTAAAAATCCTTTCCTCACACAAGGCCCCTACAGTTTTACAGGCCATATACTACATGAAGTATGCCCAGCAATTGAAAGCATTCACTCTACCCCCGCCACACCACAAAAGTGCATCCTGCTTCTCAAGCTATGAATTCCTTAGAAGTATAT